TTTATACATATGCACTCAGGAATATTGTAGCTATCTATCAGTGAAAGAATTTTGGAAAGCCGACCAGCGGTTCCAAAGATTACTCCCTACATACAAACTTACAAATTTTTCCTCTTTATAATATTAGTATAGAAAAACGTCTTCAAAGAACTCGCTAGCCGTGATTGGGAAACTAATCAGTCGGGAGATAACAATTGACCATTTGCTGTTAAAATCTACCTCGAGCATGAAGAGCTAAGGGATTGTATCGAATCAAAATCTAGCAGGGTCGGTTAACCCAAAACGCGACCTGAAAGCACAAAAAAAAAATATTTTGTAAGTGGACTCAGTGAACTACGTCCACATACAGGAGGCAACCTCTGCAAAATAAGTTTGGACCAAACTAGCAAGCGCCTTTGATGACTCGGGACTGACACGCCGCGTGAGATAGCTACGAGATCTATGTACAACGAATCTTTTAAGTAAGGGAGAGCCAAGATTCGACACGAATCTGCTCGACCGAAGTGATATCACAGCCTTACAGAAAACAGGCGTGAAGTATCCACAGCGTTATGTTTCGCCGTGTGAGTGAAGTACCAGATCAGGCCCAATCTCCTGCCCCCATCCCTCCTCAATCCCTAAATCTCCGAAACCCTAATCTCCATAAAGTCGGCAAGCACCGTTAAAAAACTTCTCCGTTGTTGTGGCTATCCATTGGCGGCGTTGATTACTTAGCAAACAAGTGATGAGTGCTTAGTTTAAGTTATCCGTGTATTCACTTGCCGAGTTATCACATAAACAAACCAAAAAAAGATTTTTATTTAATGTCAATTATATTACGAGTGTATAAAGAATAAAAGTTAATATAATAAGTCATCGGTCTAAATATGTAAAGTATAAAGGAAAGCGTGTCTCAAATGGTCCATTAGACAAGTTTCACGATAATTGTTCGGCGCGGACAATTTTCTTATAAACGCGCCGTTGTAATCACGCTATCGCAAAAAGAGGGTGACCCGCATGTTGCTAGGGATGCCACGCGCAGTCATAATAATACCAATCTGTGAATTGAGCCATTGCTAGGTAAACAAACCCTTTTCACGCGGAGAATTTTTTATTGAAGGTTGGCAATTTCAAATTTAGGATATGTGTATGATGTTTTGATGTTTTCCTTTACCACATTTGTAACTAAACATCGCATCAGTTATTATTATCAAAATAGTAAGTGTTTAAGTGTGGGAGAGCCATGCTTCGGCACGAATGGGTCGGCTCGACCGGAGTGATACCACGGCCTCACAGAAAACCGGCGTGAAATAACCACTGCGTTGTGTTTCGCCGTGTGAGTGAGGTTACCGGAGGCCCAATCCTTCCCCTTCCCCAATCCCTCCTCAATCCCTAAATCTCCAAATCCCTAATCCCTAAAAGGTCGGCAACGCACTCGTAACTCCTCCGTTGCGAGTGTCCATGGGCGGCGCTGATTGCTTACCATCAGGTAATCCGTCTGCTCGTTTGCCGACCTATATAAAAAAAACAAAAACATAAAAAAAAAAGTTTAGGGTCAGAGGAACGTGTTTATAATATACTATCAGTGTATCCAGTTGTATTCTGACATTTGACATCGCCTATTTCAGGCGTGACTCTTTATTTGGAAACCTTAAAACAAATCGATAATCTAATCCAAACTAATTGACTTCACGGCTGGCGCGATGGCTGGACAACTGGCTGCCGTGTGACGTGTCGCGGGTTCGATTCCCGCACGGAACAACACTTCGTGTGATCCACAAATTGTTGGGTCTGGGTGTCATGTGTTTGTGAAATTGTATGTTTGTAAACGCATCCGCGACACAGGAGAAATTCCTAAAGATTTTCATAAATGTAATTATTATATAAATTATATAAATGTAATTAATATTCTATATTTTCATAAATGTAATTGTAATTTAATTTAAGGTAACATTTAGACGATTTGGTCTCGTACTATTAGTCTATTTTGTTAAAGTTATAAATAAATAAATGAAAAAATGGAAAAAAAAGTTAAAAAGTTTTCTTTTTTTAAATCCGAGAGTATTTGCTGGCCATTCGACAAGATCAGCCAACAAGGCAGTCTACCTTTATTTGATCTAATGTAACATATAATTCACAAAACATAATCAAGGTTCTTCCCAGTGTTCACAACGGGTAAAAAGTATCGATTCTACATCCAGCGACACAATATCTTTTCAATTTCCTGCTTATTGCAATATTATTACAAGACTTCCTTTAAATAGAAAAAAAGAATAATGATTACGAGATGTGGCAGCCCTACCCTAGCACGGTGACAAGCTAACGGCTTCACGGGTCGGCTGCGTACGCGCACGATTGTGTTACGATGGATCGAGTACATTGACGACTTTAGTCCAAAATATTGATAAAATAATAATAATTACTTATTGTTTTAAAACTTCAGTTGGTTTCTTAGATATTAGTTAAAGGTCTGAAATCTGGAAATAATTCAGAACGTTTTCAGAATATATGAAGGCTCCTTAATTTTTTCATTTCTCCATAACCGTACCACATATAAATTGTACGTGACTTGTGTAATTCGGATAGACAAGGAGATATTTCTTTGACAAATAATTTCAGAATTAATCATGAAGGTATTTTTTTACAATATTTGGTATAATTTTTAATAAGGTGTATTAATGTCTGTTTTTCTCCAAATTACAAAAAAAAAAATAGAAGTAAACCAGCATTGTATTAGCATCGAATGTAAAAACACATGGCGCCTGCGCAGACGACGTAATGATCGGCGGCGCCACCTAGCGGCGGATAACGGAGCGCCTTGATTGGTTAATATATGTTTACACCTTTATTACAGCTATAATTTCTACTCCAAACTGCCATTGCGCAACTGCGGTTGATTTGGTAGTTTAAATTGATCTTGCGCACGTATGTGGCATCATTTTACAATAGAAAATACAACTTTACTACCGTTGTTTGAAAATGACTTCATATTATATTATTGTATTCAATCTCGGAAATTAAAACAAATGTACATATTTATAGACAAACCCGCTAAACATAATAAATATTATATGATACATAAGTTTATCAGTAAATTATGGAAAGGGGGTAAAACAGGAACTCAATGTAAGTATGTTATTTGAACTGTTTTGTGGAAAGATCAAGTGAAAGTGTTAGATTATCAAAGGCTATCAAATAGTCACTTTAATTGGAATAGCATAGGTATGTTTTCTGACTATTATATAGTTTTGGATAAAATACTTAAACGAGTTAGTACCACGGCTGACGCCAATATTTGATTGCACGATTAGCGCGGTGGCTGGGCAACTGGCTGCCGTGCAACACGTCGGGGGTTCGATTTCCGCACGGAACAACAGTTTGTGTGATCCACAAATTGTTGTTTCGGGTCTGGGTGTGATGTGCATGTGAAATTGTATGTTTGTAAACGCACCCACGACACAGGAGAAAATACCAAAAAGGAGAAAATTATATAAAAACAGAAAAATTGTCGATAGTTCCTTATCCATTTCATTCTACCATCATTATTAATAGTTAAGTGTTGTTGTTTTTTTGACTTTTGACTTTTTTTGACAGCCCTAAAATCGGTTGTGGTTAAAACTTCATGTAATTAAACATATACTGAATGACTGACTGTGAACCACTGAAGAAGGACTAACGGTCGATGGGTCAGGAAAGTGCTCAAGTGGCGACCACGGGCCGAAAGACGTAGCGTGAAAAGAACTCCTTCTAGGTGGACCGACGACCTCGTCAGATTCTTGGGAAGCCCATTGATGCAAGTGGAGACTTGTTGTTTGGCGTGGAGAATTGAGGGGAAACCTTTCTCCAGCAAAGGACGTCGTCCGCCTGATGATGGTGATGGTGATAAATAACCAGGTGGATTAACGAGTGAAGGAATTATTTTTCCAGTTGCTAAATCGTTAATGCATTTGCTAGTCTAACACATCTTTAAGTGCCTTCTTCTGAGCAAAGGCCTCTTCTCACACGGATAAGGTTTGAGTATTAATCATCGCGCTTGCTTAAGGCGGACTGGCTATTTCAAACTTATAATTAGAAATAATTAGGATGTTTTCTTTTACTTTTTATCAGTGGTGTCTAAATACACTAAGAAAGTAATATAACTCGAACAAAGTCACATTGGTACTTGCGTGGTTTGCTACCCGTGTCCTCATGCTTGGGAAGCGGGTTCCTTAACCTCCGCCACCACGACCTAGCAATTAGAAGAACTCTTGGTAAAAAGTGATCATCTTGCGGCAGCCACGTTTGTAGAAGGAGAGATATAAATAAACAAGGCAGAGTAAAAGCAATTTGATTTTGATTTCTGTCTCCAATTTATGGGAGAGCAATACAATTTTCACGGTAAATTCCACAAAGGCTTTTACACAATAGACAGGAGCTGTCATCAACAAAATCACACACGAATCACAATATTGCGTCGTTTCAAACAAACGACACTATTTCGGAGAACCACAATGGAACATAACATTTTCACTGTCTTCGCTTCACTTCCAAAATACGAGTTTTATTATGAAAAACAATGTATACTTAAATCTGTCAACGGGTCATACATTCTCATTAAAGTGCTTGAGAATAAACGCTCCGATGATACGCTGTCCCGCGTAAAACAATGTCGTTCCTTATTCTTGACAGTGACTTTTAATTTATTATCTGTGTTAAGGTTTACAAAGTCCTCTTGTGTTTCAAACGTCGGTTTTCTGATTCGCGGATTATCACTTAAAGGGTTAAAATGGATTGTGAGTCAAGGTTTTTAATTTAAGTAAGGGCTGCGTGCTGACAACTTTATAATACTGCCGTTTTTGTGTCATTTTAAAAGTGTTGAAGTTTTTCAAGCACGTTATTTTATTGCGGGAACTGGTTTAGATTTAGCGCGCGTGATGACAGACTTCTTATTCGTCTCTAATTAAAATATAATAAGAAATTCTAAAGCATTACTGCATTCTGCGCTTTACTTTTAAGTGTGGGAGAGTCAAGCTTCGGCTAGAATGGATCGGCTTGACCGGAGTGATACCATGGCCTCACAGAAAACCGGCGTGAAACAACCAAAGCGTTGTAATTCGCCGTGTAAGTGAGGTTACTGGTTACTGGAGGCCCATTCCGACCTCCTTAAATATCCGAAACCTTTATCCCCAAAAGGCCGGCAACGCACTGGAAACTCCATTGGTGTTGCGAATGTCCATGGGTGGCCCTGATTGCTTACCATCAGGTAATTCGTCTGCTCGTTTGCCGATCTATCCCATAAAAAACTTTTTATGTTTTTAACCATATTTTAAGGTGAAAATGTTTAACCAAATAATTCCGCTTTCAACAGGAGCTCTACCAACACATGATCAGGGATCAATGATTCACTCAAGCCCCACAACTACAAGTACAGTCAGTGCAAAAAAACTTCGCCACAAAAAAACGAAACTGCAGGAAGCGGTCAGTGGCGTCGACCGTCGAATTTATTTGCGAACGGTATCTGTCGCGAAGTATTATGTTACGAGGAAGTTAAAGCTGTTAAGATAAGGGTATCGGCACTGTATCCGCTCCTCGGACACGTCTCACAAATGCCACAGACTAAGATTTTGCGGCGGTGTAAGTTTCCTTCCTGTGGAAACTTTCAAATTGAATGTGACAGTTCTAAGGAGTATTTTTGACATTATGGAAATGCCGTGTCGTATTTATTAGCTACAGTAATATTACGTTATTAATCTATTTTCAACTTTCTAATATCAGATTGTCAGAGTAAAACGGAGCGGACGTAAACTCGGCATTCAAACATCCCATTACTCATTTCTCGTCAGCAGCACACTGTTTTATTTACACTGTGACATCACAATGGTTCTTTGCGAGTTTTTATTCGTCTAGACTGTACTTTTGGCTCGAAATTAATGAATCCGTACCCATGAAAGGTGTCTGGGTTATTTTGCAATGTTTTCATAAGCATAGCATATTTCATTTGGAAAGTGATAAATTGTCCCGAGGTGTTGGATAGAGGAGTGGTAGAAATTATTTTTTTTCATTTCATTTAAAATGTAATCAATTTTGAGATAATGTGAGTATGCCTTTTGTTACTGTATTCATCGAAATGTCTGTATAAACAGGCAGGTTTTTTTTATGGAACACCAGAGGAGTCACAGGTGCGTTGCCGGCCTTTTAACAAGGAGTACGCTTGTTTCTTGAAGGTTTGAAGGTCGTATCGGTTCGGGAATACCACCACCGGAAGATCGACCCAAAGTTTTGCTGTGCGGGACAGAAAGGTATATTGTTGTATTTCGGTAAATATATTGTTAAGCACATGTAACACATACCATTGTTGAACCATTTCCTTGAATGTGGTGTTATTTCCGATGTCATATTTAATATGTGTTTATTATTATACTCAAGCTTACGTTATAATTACAAGAAATATTATGAAGCACGATAAACTAATCTCTATATTACATTCCCAATCACAGTAACTCTAAAAAGTTAATCTTGAATGAATAAAACCATCTACATAGAGGGCCGTTGTTCAGAACACATACGCCATATTAATTCTACTCCCACTTTAAATTTAATGTCAAAATCTAAACTGACAATCACATCAGAAATCCTATGAATCAGTCAATAATTATCAAAGCACTCCACATCAATAACATTATTGATGAAATTTGCGTACATTTAGGCCTACAAAGCTCCCCCCTAATAAATTATTGCCAATTCCACTATCATAGTACTGGAACAGATTAATAGTTACTGAGTTTAATTGAATCTTAGTTGGCGAAGTAAAGCTGATTGGAAACCACTGACTTTCAACGAATTTATATATTAGTTTAACAATTTGCTTGAGTAAAATTCGGGTGTGTATTCCAAGGGACGGTCGGGGATTCGATAATATTTGGTGAAGTTATTCGAGCGGTATTTTCTGTTATATTCATGCAAATTAATTAGAGAATGTGTAAAAGTGGGGCCACTATGGTATGCTTCAGGGTGGTATAAGGGTGGGCCTTTGATAGATAAAGGCATAATTTAATGGCGATAACTCTAAAGTTGTTGTTCACGCATAAAATATTATGTTTTGTTTATGATCCTTAAAGTGTCATGTGTAGTATTAATTTAACAGTAGAGCAAAAACAAGGTAATTTGAAAACGTAAAATATTTTGTTTTTGCATAAAATATAATGTTGACATGTAAAATTCCTGTTTTATGATGTATTTGCAAAAATAAATCCGTTGTTCATTGATTTAAAAATTACTTCTATCCTAAAAATGTCTACCTACCTGAAAGCAAACAAACGTAGTCAACGAGGCAGACGATTAATTATGTCAATTAAATGTTTGAATTAAATTGTATTGTATTATTTATTTATCGTTTTAACAATTGCAAAAAATTCTTTAATTGTGGGAGAGCCAAGCTTCGGCACGGTCGGCTCGACCGGAGTCATACCACGGCCTCACAGAGTACCGGCGTGAAACAACCCACGGCGTTGTGTTTCGCCGTGTGAGTGAGGTTACCGGAGGCTCAATCCCTCCCCCTCCCCTATCCCTTCCCGATCCTTATATCCTCAACCCCTATCCCCAAAAGGCCGGCAACGCACTCGTAACTCCTTTGGTGTTGCGGGTGTCCATGGGCGGCGCCGATTGCTTACCATCAAGTAATCCGTCTGCACATAAAAAAAACTGTTTTTTATTTCACATTCTATTATTTAAGAACTTAAACTAAATGACCTGTATTGAAAACATCGCAGAACTATCGTCTCTCACCATCGCAGCCCCTTCAAGTCAATACCTCGATTCTCAAAGGATACCAAGTTTAGCAACTCCGGTAAGATTTTAACGTATTTCCTTGCTATTGATCTCTATACTGGCAGACTCTTAGTGGAATAGTTTTGTGAACATTATCCTTTACTAATAGTACTGAGTAATGTTAGTTTGAGTAGTTTCTGGTCGTCTGGGGCCACGGCCACGCACGCGTAGACCATACAGACCTTTATTGCCAAAGATGTAAGTAGAAAATAATGCGATGTGGATTTAATCATCCATTAAAAGACTTCCATGTTGGTCTAGTTAATTCTAGTTGGTTATGGGTTTACGATTGTTGATCATACTATTTTTGAATACGATATCTGAGGATACTTTACTTGGGACTTTTTACTGTCACATTTGGCCGCTACAGTTTGAATTTACTGGGACGAAAAAAAGAAGTTATTTTTTATCAGACTACAGATTTTTTTGTAGCTTGTAATATATGTAAAATAGGTAGTTCAACATTAAAATTTCTTTGGTCATTACTTATCAGATTGTTGTGTTTAATACACAGTAGCACCTAGCTTCATTGACGAACAGACTGACAAACTACTATTCTATTTTGACGTTTCAAAAGTACCTATTTATGGTTTAGTTGGAATAAATGATTTTGATTTTGATGTTGATTTTGAAATAATGTTTTAATATATAAAGATATCTGCTCTGTCCAAAGATCCAAACCATCACACTTGACATCATTTAATCATGTTACAACTTATCTCAGAAACTCAGCTTCGAAGTACAGTCAAGCGAATAATTAAGTCACCTTTCAGTAAAGTCAAGTGAAGTACGGTAAACTTGTTTAGAGGTTCAAATAATACAGCTGACGGCGCATGAGTCGCTTACAAATATCGCCGCGTCATCATCTTTTGGAAGCGAAAAGTTGACTTACTTTTGGGATTATAACAACTTGAATGGCTCCCTTGAATATTTACGCGTCACAGTTACGAATTTGGGATGCAATTTTCTTTAGTATTTAGGAGTTATTTCTTTGCTAAGCCGTTAATTACGGACAAGAGTCTCAAAGAGCCTAAGGCGTGTATTTTTAAACATTTATATTGTTAAAGGTCGGTGACTATTAATCGCTTAAACTATTTCTGTCAGTACACACCGTGTCTAAACACGAAAAATAATAATAATTATTTACGACACATCTTTATATATAAAAATGGATCGCAAAATGTGTTGGTAAGCGCATAACTCAACAACGCCTGGACCAATTTTGCTAATTCTTTTTTTGTTGTGTTCGTTATTGTCAGGAGAAGGTTCTTATCATAGAAAAAATTAGAAAAGTAGAAGGGAAGATTAGCAAAAAGTGACCCCTTGATAGCGAGATAGTTGGACCCGTGCGAAGCGGGGGTGGGCCGCTAGTAATAAATAAAATAAGAATACACGTTGTAATTATTTGACATTAAAAGAACAAATAATAACACAGTGAGTCAATAAAAGATCTACACACAAATGGCACCACTACTGGACTATTAATTGGCAAACTAATTTTATAATTAATTTCAAAAGCGTTTAAATTTTGATATTGACGATCAAAGCTTGTCAAATGCAGCTGACTGTACACTGTGTTTCTTTGTCCCTGTTTATTTCTTGTGTATATTAGGGAAAAGGGTTTTATCGACTAGTTAGAGTTTATTCATTGTTATTTTTAGCCGATTACAAAAAAAATGCACCAAGAGGCACCATGGCCTCGACCTAAAGCAGGAGAAGAAACAGGAGGTTTTTTAGTCGGTAAAAGAAGTCGTTTGATGATTACCCTTAACAAAACAAAATAGAACTGAAAAGTTCCATGGTCAATAAATATAAAAAAAAAACGATTAATTGAAAATTGCGAAATTGCCATTGTACATAATTGCGCGTGTTTCCAAATACAGGTACTAATTATATCATTATTTTTGAAAAAAATTAAGGTTTATGTGTGTGTTTATTCTTTTGAAAAAAAAAACTACGGGTATGTAAATCAAGATTTAAAAACAAGTCAACTACTTTTTTTAACTGTTCGAGATAGTTACTTCTTTTGCTGCTCGGACCTTATTGGTCATAGTGAGTTAGCTTTTCTAAATAAATGGAGTATCCAACCCTAAAAGAATAATTCAATTTGAATGAGTAGCTCTGGAGATTAGCACGTTCAAACAAATGAATTCTTAAGCTTGACAATGTTGGTATAGAAATATAATAACTTAAGATATTGAATCATAATATTGTCTTCTTTATTTTAATACATAGTTATTCTGTCCCCAAAACAATATCAAGCAATAAAGCAACACAGAAACTAAAATTAAACTCGAAATTTAAACTATTAAAGTCGGTTAATTCAAATCGCACACTAAACGTCACCGCATTTGACATAATTATGTAATTTCATATTAATAACCCCAACAACTTTATAGGGAACGCTTCCCTATCAAAATATAGTTTATAGCTAACCCATTTACAATACTTGAGCGAACCCATATTTGGAACCCCATGGAAAATTACCCCATGGAATTTCAATCCCTAAGACTTTGGTATAAGTACGACTACCGCATGCTAGTTTTCAGTGAAAGGTTGTATTTGCGTTACCTTTTGAAAGGGGATAGGGGTACAGTTATATTGGAATTTACAATGAGGCCCAAAGGTACAATAATTTCAGTCATTAATTCAGTCGCGAACTTTTGTTTTACTCCTTATTTTATGAAGGTAGTGCTTTGGGAATAAATTTGACAGATAGTTTGATGGATGACATGAAATTGAATTAAATGTTCAAGCGGGGGCCCGAATGGCGTATCAACGAGAAATTAATTCACTCCAGTTTATTGTAATTTTGTATTCATTCTGATAGCGTGTGCGCGTACTGATGGTTAATTTGTTATTTTATTTACATTTAAGTTATTAAGTATTTACTAATAATTTTGATAGACACTAGTAGATTAGTATTTTTGTCGTAGTCTGGAGCTTAAGGCACCTATTTCTCATGCATGAACTAAAAGGTTCGAAACCTTGGCAAATACGAAGGTGAATTCTTTGAGGTATATATACGTGTACGTGTATGTATGTGTTCTTTATATGATTATTTAGGAAACACATACGGTGAAGGAAAGCAAAGTGAGGAAACCTGGACTTGACTAATTATAAATTTGAAATCACCAAATCACATTGAGTGAGCATGGAGATTAATGCTCAAACCTTTCTCCAAGTGAGAAGAGGCCTTTGCTCAGCAGTAGGCACTTATAGGTTGATAAGGATGAGGGCAATGTTACACTGTCTTACTTTTTTTAAGTACAACAATGTATGTACTGTTGTAATAGTGGACGTTACATATGTCTACTCCTAGTCTACAAAAACACGTAATGTTATGTGAGCGTCAAAGTCAAAAATGTGGGAGAGCCACGCTTTGCCACGAATGGGTTGGCACTACAGTATTGATACCACGTACTCACAGAAAAAGGGCATCATACAACCACAGCATTATGTTTCGCCATGTCGGTGAACTTAATGGAGACACAACCCTTGCCCTCCCACGATCTTTACCCAATCCTTGAATCCTCAAAACCACTTACCCTTCTTCTTTTACCTACCTCTTCTGTTCTCCGATCTTATATCCTATAATGTCAGCAACATTCTTGCAACTCCTTTCACCTTTGGTGTTGCGGGTGTCCATGGGCGACGTCGATTGCTTATCACCAGGTAATCCGTCTGCTCATATCACATAAAAATTCATTAGCTTAAAAAGAAAGTCATTTAACGGCCTAGGTTAATAACGAAAATGCCAGTAAGTAAACTATTTGTGATGGCTATTTAATTTTCTCCTTCAACAAACAGATATAATTGAAGAAGTTCAGCTTTTTGCTCAAACGTCTAATCAATTCAGACAGCTGTTTGAATGGCTAATTAAGATAAAGTACCTGGTTAGCTATGATTATTATTAAACTTATTAACATACCTGGTATGGTTAACTTAATTTAGTTATTTCTAAGTACCAACATACTGTAGCTCCATAAAGTTAACTAAAACGTTTTCAGTTCCAAGTTAAACCGTGATACGGTTTACGGCTCCAGTTAGCATACTCTTGATATACTGAACGTTGGACTGAAACTTGGACAGTTAAATTTTAACTGTTGAGACTTTAGAGTTATGGTTTGAAACGTTAAAATGAGTTTTATAACTTAACTGTTAAGATTATGGTTTAATGTGAGAAAATATTTCTTTAATTTATTTTTAGTGGTTTCGTAATAGGGTTGTTTAATCATATTTTTAAGTGAGGTAACTTCTTTAATTTTTTGTGCCAGTAACTTATGTATTTATTGAAAGTTATTTCATTTTTGTGGTTTTGAAAACTTGTGGTGTTGAGCAGCTGCCAACTTTTTGACGCTTGATGTTTTTTTTTTTTTTTTTTATAACCGAAACAGTAAACCCATAAATTAACTTCGTAGTTTTCTTAAGTTTGATCTTGTTGCATTATCCACAGAGGTTACAAATCAATAATAATATATAGATGTCAGCCATCTTGATGGGATATAATCTGTGGTCGAAAAATAGTAATTTTTTATGGTACAAAAAACAAATAAATTATTGCTAAATTAAGAAATTCTGTTTTAATGTTTATAACCTCATGTTGTTTTTTTTTTGTTTTCGTAGGTAAGATAATATTTAATTTCTAGAATATTGTAACTCTAAAATTAAACGTTGCTAGAACGTCTTTATTTGAGAGCCCTGGAGGAAAGTTATAAGCATCATTAATACATATTTTGAAATTATGTAATGTTTGATAAAAACCTTTAAATGATTCATATTACAAATATTATTGACAAACCACAAACAACTTGATACCCTAAACGAAATATGATTTGTGAGGACCACCTAGAGGATACGGTGGAGCATACGGTAGCGGTATGCCCTGCCTGGGCTGAGCACCGCCGTATCCTCAGGGAAGTGATCGGCGGCGGCGACCTCTCGCGCCCGGCCTTAGTCGAGGCCATGGTGCGGAGTGAGAGGAACTGGGACGCCGTCTCCTCCTTTTGTGAAGCAGTCATGCTCGCAAAGAGAGAGGCGGCCCGCGTGAGGGAGCAATCCTCCTCCTCACGCCCCAGCAGCCGCAACTGGCGACACTACGGGCGTCGGGGATCGAGGGACGATCTCCGGCCACCGTAAGTACGGGCCTGCGGTCGGCGAGTAAGGGCAGCTCGCCGCCCGACCAGAACCAGGCCCGAGCGTACGGCGCGTAGCGTTCCGCGCGCGCCTCAAAGAGCCAATAGACCACCACAGACGGGGCCCTAAAGGGCTGATGTTCAGCCGGGGTTGCGGGGTAAGCGCAATAAGGTACCGCGACCTCGGCACAGAGCAGGAGAAGGAACAGGGGGGTTTTTAGTCAGTAAGAGTCTGACACTCCCTCCTGCCCGGCCCTGGGCGGGAGAAGTCATTTGATGATTTTCCCTCACAAAAAAAAAAAAAAAAAAAAAAAAAAAAACGAAATATGATACCTTTGCTTTTTAGTGATGTGCATTATTCCTGTTTTGTAACAAGTTTGGGAGATGGTAAATTAAAATGTAGGAGAGCCATGCTTCGGCATGAATGGGTCGGCTGGACCGGAGTGATACCACGGCCACATAGAAAACCGGCGTGAAACAATCGAAGCGAGGCCAAATCCTTCGTATCTTCCACCAATCCCTAAATTTCTGAAACTCTAATCCCCAAAAGTCTGGCAGTGCACTCCTATGGTAGTAAACCGACTGCTCCTTTGCCATCTTATGACTTAAAATATAGTTTTTTTTTGTATTCCAGGAGACAGACTACCTGAGAAGGGAGTAGGGGGCAGGAAGATGGTGGATGAAGACCGCTTTCAACAGCAGATGTAAAAGTCTTCAAGGATAGCTATCTTCAGAAGTGGTTTTCAATTTTGAATTTCTTACAGTTTTAGCATAAATATCATCCCATGACTTCTCCTGCCAGGGCGAGAGGAGGAGTCAGACCCTTACCGAATATAAACGAACCCTGTTCATTCCCCTACTGCGAACTGCGCCGTGGTACTTCATTGCTCGCAATCCCAGCCAATGCATAGTAAGCTGTGAATCTCATACTATACTTCTTCATACTATACTGCTTCCGCCCTCGGTTTCATTTAAAAGTAGCGTATACTATAATCAAGGTATCATCTATCTACATTACAAATTTCAATCAAATCGGTCTAGCCGTTTAAACGTAAAGACATTGCAAACATACTACATCCATATATTCTCACAAACATTCATAATATACATATTTTACATTGGCGGGAAATGGAGTTTGTGTGTTAGTTCTTAGCTAAGGTGAAACACAATAATGCACACGAATTACGTATAATATTATGTAACGTTTATTAGAAGACTGTCATACACATACACATTGGACGTATCAAACACAACAAAGCAAATATAGATACTATTTTACAAGATTTTGGCGGGAACGAGCGAGATCCGCGGAAGATAACTGTTCCGGGCGTTAGAAGCGGGCGCGCGACTCGACTGACTCTTGAGTGGCGGGAGGCGCGGGAGCGCGGTAACGCGGCGCGGGCACAGGGCGCATGCGCGGGCGGTGCGCGGGCGGTGCGCGGTCCTTACGTGGCCGACGCGGTACCTACTGCTTAACGGTCTACCGTTTCGCGCCACAATCCGCGCGCGATAGTCTCCCCCTCTAACCCAAACGAACGTCCTCGCGTTGGGGTTAGCAAAATCTACGAGGCCTCCCCCTCTTTCGTTTCTCCTGTACCGGGTCTTGGATGCGACCGACGAAGGGAGTCAACACAGAAGCATGATACTTACCTAGCCCCGTACCATCGCTGAGGCGCTCGAGATTGTATGTGGTGGGACTGACCCCTGGATCCTCCATTTGATTCTCGCGCACGTCCTTCAGACTGCGAGAGGGCACGTCGACCGCAGCGCAGCACAGGTCGCAGTCGGCATCTTCGGCACATGCCGGGCGCGACAGATTGTCGGCTATGATGTTCGCCTTACCTGGAGTGTCTTCTGTCTTCAGGTTATACCCTTGAAGACTCTGGGCCCACCTGGCTAGACGACCGCTTGGAGATTTCATACTCATCAGCCACCTAAGCGGCTGATGGTCTGACTTTACCACCACTTCTGCGCCGTCTATGTATCCCCTGAACTTGGAGACGGCCCAGACGACGGCTAGAGCTTCCTTCTCCGTCGTGCTGTAGTTCCTTTCAGCAGCGTTCAAGAGGCGACTGGCGTATTCTATCGGGCGCTCGTCGGTCCCCTCCCCCTGGAGGAGAACCGCCCCGAGAGAGTATCCACTGCTGTCGGTCCTGAGGACGAAAGGCAACGTCGCATCAGCCTGACGCAGGATCGGCGCCGATACCAGCAGGTGCTTGATCTTATCGAAAGCAGCTTGCTGCTCCGGGCCCCATTTCCATACTCTTACCTTTTTCAGCAGCGCTGTCAATGGTTTGGCGACCTCTGCGTAGCCGGGGATAAAACGCCTGAACCAGCTGGAAGTCTGCAGGAAACATTTTAGGTGCTTTACGTTGCGCGGTGTAGGCATGTTCGCGATTGCCGCGGTCTTGCCTGGATCTACATGAATACCACCCGGTAAGATGATGTGCCCTAAGAACTTCACCGTTTCCCTCTTAGGAGGTGACAATCTAAACGGGGGAGAGGCCAAGGGTTTCTGTGTTCCACTCACCTTAATTTTGTGGACTGCGAAGTCGGTGGGTGGTCCAGCCGAAGCAAACTGCTCCGGTGACAAGCACGTACCTTCGTGTGATACATCGCTAATATCCACCTGCGCCACTGTCGCGCTATTTAACACAAAAGATTGCAAAAACGAGTACCGGTCTCCTGGACTATCCGCAAAATGCCAGGACTCTTGGGCTATGTCTAACACGATCTCAGCCTGTGCGATAAAATCGCGGCCTAAAAGAGTCCGGGTATCGTCGCCGGGAAACACCATGAACTCGGTATTGACTCTTCGACTATTTAACGTGACCGGTACGGTCGCGGTTTTAATAGTCTTTCTGTGACATGAGCCATCGGCAAGCCCGACATATCGTTCCGTTTCGTGAAATTCGATGCCGTTATTTATAAGCAACGAATATAACATCGGGCTAGCGACGCTATGCGTAGCGCCGGTATCGAGTATCGCTACACCTTCTTTTCCTACGACGCTTATTGCTACTAAAGGGTGCGATGACATCATAGTCGCAAAGAAGTCTCCTTTTACGACATTAAAATCGGCTGGCTTACCTGGCGCGGACGTGGATTTACCCGAACATGTTTCGCACTTCGATTTAACTACCCCTGCCTGGCCGCATCCATAACAGCGAATTGTATTACTTATAGTACTATCGCTAGTATTGTCTACTTTACTAGAGGAATCTGTGCTATCGACTTTGTTCGCGGCTTTCCGACATTCATTGGCCGCGTGGCTGAACGATCTACAGAATGAACACCGAACACGATTTCGCTTAGACGATTCGTTCGAATTAGAGGTGAGTTTGGGACTAGTGGTTGCGTTCGAACTCGTAGTAATACTCCGATCGGGAACAGTAGGTATGTTCGAATTGTTCGCGGGAACGTTTGAGTTTTTTAGTTCGGTTATTGAATCTTCTGTGAGTCTCGCTCGCTCTAACAGATGTTCAATGTCGGTGATGGTGTCTCGTGACACCCGTTTTCTTATACGCCGGTGTAATAAACCGTACACTATATCTACCATCATCTCGTTTGGCACAGAATAGGGTAACTGAATAAGTAAACATCGTACCTTTGACACAAAAACTTCAGCACGTTCGCACTCACTTTGTTTACACTGGAATACCTCACGCAGTATCATGTGCGCGGGCTTTCGCACGCCGTAGGTAGCGCGCAGGCGCGCTAGCGCGTCCGGCCACGAGCCGACCGCGGCCCGGGCACCGCGCCACCACAGCGCCGCGTCGCCGTTCAGCAACATGGAGAGGCCGCGTAGCGCGTGATCGTCTGTCACGCCGGCGCACTCCTTGTATACCTCCACTGCGTCAATGAAGGCCTCCAGTACCTCCGGGTCGCGGGACTGGCCGTCAAACCTAGCGGTGCACTTTGAAAAATTACCGCCACAGGCCGCGGGTGTGTTCGCCGAGGGCGAAGCCGCCGGCGTCGATGTGACGGGGCTCCACGTGTCGCCGCCGTGCCGTAGGGATCGCAGAGTTTCCACGAACGTGCGGTTTGTTTCCGCCTGCATCCGGGCGAAAGATTCCATCATAGTGGATAGCAGTCGCTCGGTATTGAACGCTGCGGCAGGCGCGCCGGTCTGGGCCTCGCCGAGCGTGTGGTCGAGAGCGGCGCCCCTCCGGGCGCGCGGCTCTTCGGTTGCGGCGGGCGCGCCGGTCCGGGCCCCACCGAGCATGTGGTCGAGGGCGGCGCTCCCCTGGGCGCGCGTCTCCTCGGTCGCGTCGTATGCGTCGCGTGACTGGGTGGTAGCGGCGCCGGCATGGGCGCGCGGCTCCACCACTGAGTCGCAGTCTGAATCGGAGTAACCGTCACTTCCTTGCTCCTCCGCCTTGTGTCCGATTTGTGCTCGGGTTGCTCGCGTAATTCGTGGCATGATTAGGTCTTTATAGTCACTGAATATATAACACTTCACTGGGTTCGTTTTACTGCCGACATTAAACTAACGTCGGGCCGCAAGTTGGGCGTCACTTTTACATTGGCGGGAAAATGGAGTTTGTGTTAGTTCTTAGGTAGGCGAAACACAATAATGCACACGAATTACGTATAACAGGTAATGTTTATTGGAAAGACACTTAGAAAAACACAATAGACTATACAGCAAATATAGGTTGGTACTGTTTATACAAGGTTTTGGCGGGAACGAGCGAGATCCGCGGAAGATAACTGTTCCGGGCGTTAGAAGCGGGCGCGCGACTCGACTGACTCTTGAGTGGCGGGAGCGCGGTAACGCGGCGCGGGCACAGGGCGCATGCGCGGGCGGTGCGCGGTCCTTACGTGGCCGACGCGGTACCTACTGCTTAACGGTCTACCGTTTCGCGCCACAATCCGCGCGCGATACATATATATATGATTGTGGGTTAGAAGGATTATAATAATAAAACATCAGTCGTTCAGCGAATATCATTAACGCTTTTTAAAGGGCTTTCTGCTAACAACTAATGAGAGGGCGTTGCCGCAATCCCAGCCAATGCATAGTAAGCTGTGAATCTCATACTATACTATCATAATAAGAAGTGTTTTGGAGTTTCCACCAATTTCCCTAGAACAAAAGTGTGATTTTTTTAAATATAACATTGCCCCACACTAGGATTTTCTCCTGTGTCGTGGGTGCGTTTACAAACATACAATTTCACATACAAATGATCCCCAGACCCGAAACAACAATTTGTAGATCACACAAAGTGTTGCTCCGTGCGGGAATCGAACCCGCGACACGTCGCACGGCAGCCAGTTGCCTAGCCACCGCGCCAACCGTGCAGTTAATATATTGTTTGTATCTTGAATAGTAGGTATCGTGAGATACACAGACATGCTTGTTTTCATTGCTATGTACTTTGGTTAACGTGTACATAGGTAAATATGTAGGTATATAATATTGATAAATAGATTGGTACAGACTTCAGTGCGGGATATTATAAACAGATTAAGGGTACGTTTATCCAAACTTAATATTGTAAATTCGAAAGTACCTAACTCTGTCTGTCTGTCTGTCTTTTCTTTACGCCTAAATTACTGAACCGATTTCTGTGAAATTCGGTACAGACATTGTTTGCAACTCGAGAAAGGACACAGGATTGTTCTTATACCAAACATATCTACAGGAAGTCCCTATTCCACGCGAACGGAGTTGCGGGCAAAAGCTAGTTGAAAATGAAGACTTACTCATGTGAATAGGCTGAGAATAGCTCAACTAGTTTCAGGTCACAACGGGACTCTTATTCTTTAGCAGCATGTCGCCGCCTCGTGCTTATTCCGTGGCTAAGTCGTTATTTTCAACGTATCGTATGTACCTATATTTTTACCCTATTGGTACTTGCCCACTAAAGGGATACACTAACCGTGTTTTCTGCTTACCTCAAAAAGTAAAAGCTGCGCAATACAGGTTTGGCGAGTGGCGTGACCTTTCGCAACTCGTTGCTGACTCATATTTATCAATTTCGCCTCCACTTTCACTACAAACAAACATATACACTGATCTGCAAGTTAGATTGACCGTAATAATAAAACCTAATTATATACTATATATATCTAAAGTATGCTTTAAATGTCAATGTGTTATTTTTATACAACTTGATTTTATTTATGTACTAGCTTTTGCCCGCGACTTTGTTCACGTGGAATAGTGGCTTTCTGGAGGTTTTTGGTATAAAAATGCTATCCTATGTTCTTTCTCTAGTTCCAAACTGTGTCTATACCAAATTTCACAGAAATCGGTTCAGTAGTTTAGGCGTGAAGAAAAGACATACAGCAAACAGAGTTAGGTACTTTGGCATTTATAATATTATTTAGATTATATTGCGGTTGAATTTATAGGACGCAAATTATACTTACAAGAAAACTTATTTTATATAACTAGCTTACGCCCTCGGTTTCATTTAAAAGTAGCGTATGTGTTAATCAAAGTATCATCTATTTACATTGTAAATTTCAATCAAATCGGTCTAGCCGTTTAAGCGTGAATACATTACAAACATACATCCATATATTCTCACAAACTTTCATAATATACAATATAATATATATATTATAGTATAATATATACAATATAATATATAGTACATATATATATGATTGTGGGTTAGAAGGATTATAATAATAAAACATCAGTCGTTCAGCGAATATTATTAACGCTTTTTAAAGGGCTTTCTGCGAACAACTAATGAGAGGGCATTGCGACGCAAACTGTTAATGGTAACAGCAGAGATGTAGGTCCTCAGTACGTCGCAGTTCATTCCATTTAGTTCTGACAATCAGCCTCTGTAAGGCAGTTCAGAACATTTCGCCAAACTCCTGCTCGCCCATCAACTAATACATATTACGGTACAAGTTGTAAAATGTCAGCGGGTAACAGAAGTTTGCTCATAAATATATAAAATTGAGGGTCCAGTTAAAATGTAAACGAGATTAGGAAATTTTCAAAATGGCGATAACTGTAAATCATTAGTGTAAATTACTTTTATTATTTTCACAACATTAAAACTTAAAAAATAAAACCGTTTAATGAACTTAAAGTGTCAATTGGGTACAGAAAGAATGTTAATGAATTTTGTTTGTTGATAACTCAGGTTGATAAATACGTTTTAATGCTTCCTAAAACCACATTGAAAATAAAAAAAGACAAATTCAATACATTTTCTGAAATGTAAAAAAACGTAAATTTTCTATAAATTATATATGAAATAGCACATTGTGACGTCATAGTTTTATACGTCAAATAGCATACTATATGAGTAACTCGTTATTGTCTTAAATATAAAAATAATCTTAAATCGTGAATTGTCTTAAAATACGAATAATAAGTATGTTAGTTGTAAAATTACTGAATGAAAGCGTTGAAATCTTTTAGTATATTATGGTTGGTTAAAATAATATCAATAATTTCGTTTTGACTACGAAAACTACCCAAATATATAGTATAGACAATACAGTCAAAGATTAATTCTAAATGCCTAATACAATTAGTAAATAGTTTGATCCATGATAACTTGAATAGAACGCCTGCTAAATATTTTAGCAAGAAACATATGTCAAAGACGTATAGTTAATGAAATGAACCAAATATCATCAAATCACAAATCGCTATCATTTCGCTTCAGCTCACACCTTGGACCACACAGCCAGGGAATCCCTCTCACTAATGGCGCTCGGTCGAAAGCGCGCACTGTTTACTTTTATTGTTGAGATAAATCTGTCTTAACTGTCCCGATAATCGCCGCTAACTGTTGGCTACGTAAATATTGCTAGTATTATTGCTTCCCTCCGAATTTATGCTGTTTATATAAAGGTGCCTAAGATATATAGTTGCTCCTGTCCTAGACAAATTAGGTTTATCGAGGCTATTCCGGCCGTTTCCATGATTAGCTATAATATAGTGGGTTGGTAGATTGAGACATCTTTGTTTATAATTAGTGCTTTATTTCGTCAGTTTAGGAATTAATTTGTGGTGTAAAGTTAAGTTTGTGTATAAAAATAATAAAAAATAGACACGTTTCAGAGATTGAATTTTATGGATGTATAAATAAAGGTAACAATCTTTTCAATTTGATCGACTGAAGTACTTAAAAAAATAAAAAATATACTATTTTCCATCACAATGTAGGAATAGTTTAGACAGTATATAAAGATTCAAGTGTGGATTGCAGCCTAAACTAGGGATGTCCAGCCGGGGTTGCGGGGTAAGCGCAATGAGGCACCGCGACCTCGGCACAGAGCAGGAGAAGGAACAGGGGGTTTTTAGTCAGTAAGAGTCTGACACTCCCTCCTGCCCGGCCCTGGGCGGGAGAAGTCATTTGATGATTTTCCCCTCACAAAAAAAAGCCTAAACTAGGGAAACCCTGTATTTATGGCTCCTCATAATTATTTATGAACCTTAGCCGTCGAGTACTAAAGCTCAATTTCGAATACAAGTACTTTAAACGTATATTATCAGCAATCTTAAGTGTTTTTCAATAGAGTTCTTTTGCCCATCATAGCAACATAATTTACTGCGTGGCGTCAAATAAACTCGTGCAAACTTCGCACATTAAAGCGCATTTTAAAACAATCCCACCAAACAATAGACGCGTAATTATCTTGTGCGAACTCGTAAAAACTTTAACATGGTGCTATCAAATATTTTGCACCTAACTTAACGAGCGGATCCTGGCCATAAAACCTTGTATATCTCTTATATGACCGGTAATACTTCGATGTCCATTGACCGTCAAGTTTAGCGGGTTTCTACTGTTCTATAGAAGTAGTGTTCAATGTATGTTGTATGTCATTAGTGATGTATGGATGCGCAGAAAGGGACTAGTTTTATTACGGCTTCGTTTTATAGTTCGGCCAATAGCCGGTGTAGCTCTGGTTGCAAGTTTTAGGGAAATACGACGAGGGTTCCAAGTCCGCGGGGGATGACCATCGACCAATGAGTTCCCGACAATGATTGATTGAAATTGAAACTATTTACGGATTAGACACGTTGCTAATAATAAATATGATCTCATCCCTGTCTCTTAGAAGAGAAGAGTAACTGTAACAATACATGATTTATTATGAATAATAGTAGATCTAGTATTGACTAGTACAGTTTTAAGTACCATTTAAGATGAGTTATAAGCCTGAGACATACTTATATTGAATACGTTAGTTGTAAAAGACTGGTGCCATTGAAAACAAACGTGTCCAGTTTGTACAAGTATTCAGCAGAAACAAGCTGATGAAGATGAATTACTTACTTTTCATTTTGATGCACCAACCGCTGGATTACTCTGCACCATCCTATGGTTGACTGTAAGAGAACGCCTAAAGGCAATTTGTCCGCTATTCAAACTGTATTATTTGAAGAGATTTTCTCTAAATAATTTGCTCTAAATACATTACTAATAACATTAATTGTATGTATTACTCGTATAGTTACAATAACAAAAAATAGATATGTGTTCGAAATTTTAAATAGGCGGTCATTTCGGATTCTACGATCTCTTTCTGGCAACCTTTGGATAAACAAAAATAGCTCCAAAAAGTACATATTACACTATTATTATGTATAAATTATTATAAATACATACCAAAATTCTCAGTTCTGTCTTAACAAAGTGAATGAGAATAAAAGTGTGCCTATTAAAATTGTTTATTTCGACTTCAATGTATTCGAACAAAAGATTTTGTTGCAATTCCTTTCTTTCCGCAGCTTACCTAATGGCCCACTCTGCTCGTCTGTCCGTCCCTAATCCGGTTGTTTTATGAGCCGCCTTTTGTAGCCGCCGGCACTGAACTGGGGACCATTTTCATTTATCGTGCGTATTGCATCCGTACGTTTATACTTGACGGTTTGCTTTAGTGTGTCACGGAAGAGAAGCGATTTTTTTTATATCCCCATTGAGAATTTTATTAGTAGTTGTGGCGAATTTGTGTTTACGCTCGTGTTCATGTGTTATGACACGATTTTAAGTGTTTGCCAATTGTTATGTGTGGAGCTTGGTAAAATGAAAATTGTACGTAATATTCGAACAGTTGATTTAGAGTTCAGTATTCAGCAATAAGCTCGCCGTCACATCGACTCTAAATTAGTGGTTATAGACAAATCACCTGATTGTTATTGCCACCTGAGTTTTTTGACAATATTTTAAGTGAGGGAGAGCCATGCTTTGGCCCGAATATGTCGGCTCGACTGGAATGATACCATGGGCTCACAGAAAACCGGCGTGAAACAACCACAGCGTTGTGTTTTTTACCGTGTGAGTGAGGTTATCAGAGGATTAATCCTTCCCCTCCCATAACCCTTCCCCAATCCCTAAATATCCAAATCCCTAATCCCCAAAAGGTCGGCAACGCACTAGTAACTCCTTTGTCGTTGCGTGTGTCCATGGGCGGCGCTGATTACTAATCATCAAGTAATCCGTCTGCTCGTTTGCCGACCTATTAAATTAGAAAAACATACATTTTTAGCATATTAAATCTAGATGCACAAATCTTTATTGATTTTTTATGACTCATAAGAGTTATAGAGATAAGTTAATAGTACGAAAACATTAGGTACTGATTAGAATGTCTAATAAAATTTAATTAAACTGAAGCTCGGCTATGAACATGTGTTAGACGATGTAGTTCTATTTATTTGCTAATTGACTGACATCGCTTTGATGAGCTGTCCTGTAATTAATTGAGGTTTTACACCGATATGCTTTATTTATGTCGCTGGATTTAGTTCGTTTGAGTTTCGTTTTCATTATAATTCATTATAATATTTTAATCTACATAAAAATCAATGCCACTTTTCATTTTAATGTTATAATTCAACAATGCCTTTACCGATTTGTCTAATTTTGGTCTTCAATTATTCGTGGAAGTTTAGAGAAGTTTGTAGGTAGGTAAAATAAAAAAAAACAATCTTGAAAATGTGTACAATCGACATTCACGCGGCCATAGTTGCGGGCGACTGCTTGTTTTATCATATTTATACTAAATATACGTGTGACGTCCATCGTACGGCCTTTTTTTGAAGAGGAACAATCATTATAATATGACTTCTCTCGACCTGGATAGGCCGAAAGGGAGTATTAGACTCTTAATGTGACTAGAACCCACCCTGTTCCTTCTTCTGGTCCAAGCCGAGGCCGCGATACATTAATGCGTCCTCCGAGCAAGTGGTGTTCGGTTACATTCCTGAAAAGGCAAAGAACACAAGTTAAATATATTTTTTTTTGAAATTACCAGTACATTGATCTGGTAAAAAGAAATTGATACTTTGTTAGGTATGCTTTATCCACTGCCTAACACTTAAAATATAAAAAGCGTGATGCCATGTTGGTGTAACGTAACATGTCACAATCATTTCAAAAAAAAAAATTGTAAATAACGCACACATTGCTCATCGATAAGAGTCCCGCCGTGACTTGAAACCAGTAGAACTTTCCACAGGTAATTTTTTGTTTGTTAAAAAACGAGTCCTTTCCCTGGGATTTACTCCTGTGTCGTGGGTGTGTTTACAAACATTCAATTTCACAAACACATTACACCCAGACTCGGAAAAACAATATGTGGATAACACAAAGAGTTGTTTCGTGCGGGAATGGAATACGCGACACGTTGTGCGGCAGCCAGTTGCCCAGCCACCGCGCCAACCGTGTAGTCAAATTCACGACGGTAAGTCGTCATTTTTAATAGGTAAACATAGTTTGTCTCACGATAGTAACTATTCAACAAAACTATAACACCAAATCCTATTGGTAGTGATGTGGCGTTACATTGATATAATAGTGTTGCGCCATTATATCGAAACGAACGATACATTATAATTTTGCCGAGTAATTAAATTCGATATCGTAGTAATTTCGCCGCCCATTATCGAAAGTTGGTATTAATTTTACTGGTTAATGACGTCACTTTGATGATACAAACGAGTTTTTGTATTTATTGCGTTCAATACTTGTGTGTTATTGAAAATTTAATGGTGTAGAAGGTTTTTTTTGAGGTTGAAAATTTATTAAATGACTTCTCCGACCTTGGGTGAGGCGGGACTATAGAGCTAGACACATTGACCAAAAATCGTCCTTTACCATCTTCCTCGGCCTAGGGCCGCGGTGCTTGCACAGCAAGGGTTGCGGGCCAAGCGCAATAAGGAACCGCGACCGCAGCCTGGAGCAGGAGAAGGATCTGAGGAGTTTTTAGTCAGTATGAACTGCTGCGGCTGAGGCTGAGCTAAGTCATTTGATGACTTTTCTCTATTATCAAAAAAACCTGTAAACCAGATGCCATTGAAGGTCCTGTTTATTTACCAAATATGTCAATGTATACTAAACTAAATGATAAATAAATCAACCTCATAACTATGGACTATGGATTGTACATAAGAGGACTAGCTGTGATTTCCACGATACGTTTGGAAATCGCTGTTTTAAAAGGTTTAATCAGAAAATCGTATAGCATGGTCTCTGAAAAGTTAGGAATATTTTATTTAATAACCACATAATACATAAAGAACTGACGTGGTCAAAAATGTATTCTACTTAGCCATACATCGCTTGTGGTCGTGGTGTCTTGGAGGCGCCTGCTTCTCATCAATTACTTAGACACCAATGGCAATATGGTTAAGGAAATCATCGTAAGAAAACCTGAATTTAATTTTTAATTATGAGTTTCAAATGGCCAATCCTACTTGAACAAGCGTGGTGATCAAAGAAGAATTCTTTCCTCAGCAGTATGCATTTATAGGCTGATTGATGATGATAGCCATACCTTGGGGCTATCACCAAGGTACCAAGTGTAGGTCCCTAATTAAAAATGCCTAAGCAAACGTAATAAATTTCCACTGACATTTATATTGTTTTGATTGGTACAATTAATAAATGTGTTTGATTGCGTCGTAAAATATTATTAGGTTTTACGACCGTGTATATAGGTACGGTATATTCAATTCATTTAGCCCCATTCTTGGAACAATTTAATTTTATAATTATGCGCACCCACCATTTAATAAAGGCAATTGGTTAATGTCAGCAAATAAATTTTCTCAATTAATTTACAATGGTTTTTAAATGAAAGTTTGCAAAAGCAACAGCATGTTTTAAATTAACGTAGTCAGAAAACGAGCTGACGGATCGACTGATGGTAAGCCATCGATGATTATGGACACCCATCACAAACACCGAGTAACAAGTGCGTTGCTGGCCACTGTACTCCAGTAATTTCACTCACTGTTTCACGTCTGTTCTGTAACGCCAGGTGTCACCAGGTGTCACCACAACGCCACCGGTCAGGCCGAAGCACGGCTCTTCCACACTTGGAGTTTTTACTCTAGTAAATAAACTTCTAGGTATTATTATATTTTTTTTTATGTTTATGTGATAGGACGGCAAACGAACAGACGGATTACCTGATGGTAAGCAATCGGCGTCCCCCATGGACACCCGCAACAAAGAGGGAGTAACGAGTGCGTTGCCGACCTTTTAAGGATTGGGATTTTGGGATTGGGGTAGGGGAAGGATTGGCCCTCCGGTAACCTCACTCACACGGCGAAACACAACGTTGTGGTTGTTTCACGCCGGTTTTCTGTGAGGCCGTGGTATCGCTCCAGCCGAGCCGACCCATTCGTGCCGAAGCATGGGTCTCCCACACTATTGAGAGTTTTAAAATATGTATCAGTAAATATGTAAGTATGAATTTTAACAGAATATAGTCTGGAATATAATTATGTATATATCTTAATAAACTCATACACGACTCATAAGAGGTTAGGAGTGAGTATTATATTATTCCAATATGCAGCTTCCTTCACTTTAGATAAGGAATAAAAGCGTGAATTCATATTAGTATGCAATGTATTTTTTGGCAGAACCAAAAACCCCCAACCCAGAACCTCCAAAAGCCGCTGCAACTGCTGTGAGCCAGGATCTACAGTAGATACAGTAGATACAACCAGAAAAACATTGAAACATCGAAACACTAAATCCGACGCCAAAGGGACATGAATAACTGACTTGCATCCCGAAACATAATAAAAGAGGAAGATGTTAATCATATAAGGACTGATTTTTCAATAGTAAGATAAAAGTTATCTGGGGAATAATTAATTATCATGCTATCTCGTCAGGTTGTTTGTATAAGACAGTGACAGCGACATTTAATTCCTCAGATAACATTTATCTGACTATTGAAAAATCTGCCCTAAATAGAAGAAGTTATTTGAGAAGAAAAAATAATATAGTGCACCTACACAAAGTGTAGAAAAAGTAAATAGAAAATTCTTCTTAAGTCTCCAAGTAGCTAAGCATACCGAATTGAAAACGACCCCCAATATTTCAATTGGCCAAACCAGAGACAAGTTATTCACGTCCTCTTAAAAATCACGTCTCACGTTTTCCGTTTCCTCGAGCGAGCGCTTAACAAAATGGCTATAAAAGTTTAAAGTCTCAAAATTTAAATATCGCAAGCCGTCTGCCCGTCCCCGTCCTGTACGCGATTGATGTTTGTACTTATATACAAAATGCCGAGACACCAACCTACAGGTATGAAGGGGTAGGATAATTATGGATGTGGCAGATTTATTTTCATCCTCAAACTAATTATTGACTACATTGGTGAAGGTCAGTCGCACCCCAACCTCATTTTTTATAATAAGTTAGTTGAGAGAGTACAGTTATTTTATTAATAAATAATCAATAGGCCTTAAAGTAATCAAGTCAGATTGTGCTGCCTTATAAAAAAAAAAAAAATAATGGACCGCATTCAGCGACGAGCCGTTTCGGCGGCGGCTACCTCTCGCGCCCGGCCTTAATCGAGGCCATGGTTCATAGCGAGAGGAACTGGGAAGCTATTTCCTCCTTCTGCGAAGCAGTTATGCTCGCAAAGGAGGAGGCGGAGCGCGCGAGGGAACTATCCTCCTCGCGCCCCTGCCACCGCAGAAGGCGACATTCCGGGCGTCGGGGATCGAGAGATGATCTCCGGCCACCGTAAGCGCGGGTCTGCGGATGGCGAGTAAGGGTAGCTCGCCGCCCGACCAGAACCAGACCCGAGCGTACGGCGCGTAGTGTTCCGCGCGCGCCTCTAAGAGCCAATAGACCTAGGGCTGATGTTCAACCGGGGTTACGGGGTAAGCGCAATGAGACACCGCGACCTCGGCCTAGAGTAGGAGAAGGAACAGGGGGGTTTTTAGTCAGTAAGAGTCTGACACTCCCTCCCGCCCCACCCTGGGCGGGAGAAGTCATTTGATGATTTTCCCCTCACAAAAAAAAGCGACGAGCCGTACAAATCGTCGACTGCCCTGATGGCTCAGTCCGGTTGGAATCTTTGTGTGATTTGATCCCCGCCGCATCTTTTCAGCACCGACCCAAGAGAAAACATTTTCATTACCATAAATGGACCTATAAAGACGGTTGGCTAGGCTAAACTTTCTACCTCGCACAGCAAAACTTCGTGAATGATCTTTCGGCAGCGGTAAATATTCCAGAAACGATACGATTTTAGAAACTTCAAGAAACATGGATACTCAGGCCAGCAACGTCTCTGAAACTCCTCTGGTGTTGCTGGTGTCGATGGGTAGTGCTGATCACTTACCATCAGGTGATCATTTTGCTCTTTGACCTTGAAGGCAATTCATAAAAAGATTTCTAAATGCCTTTGCGTCGAGTCGTACTTTTATAGTAATGTATTTTTGTCTTTTCTCTTTGTATCTTTCTTTTCTTGTATATTATTATCTATTCATAGTATAATATGCGGTTTCTTATTATACGACTGTTTTCTTCCATCTAGCTCAATTTAATTTCCGCCCCTGGGTACTATCAGACTATTTGACTAAAAACCACGCCTCTATACCATCTCACGCAGATATGAGAGTAGACTTTTGTAGATCACAAACTTCCTAAACTTTAAATTAACCTATAATCCAAATCTGCCGTTTTGAGTAATTTGCCACATTTACCTTTTTATAACTCCGAGGTCCCCAGCGCAGTCTAGGTGTAAGACGTCGAGACGCGGTGACTGACCTGCGACCGTGATGTGCAATATACGACGAATATTAGCCATACCCAGGCACATACAGCTATACCTTACGATGAATATTAGCCACTCTACATACCCACACAAGCAAGCATATAAAGGTATACCTTTTTCTGGGTAGTTCGAACAAATATGTCTGTCTAACAAAGGTGTAACCTGGGTGTCTTCAAAGACCGATTGAATAGATTGCTTATGGACCGTAAAAAAAATGTGTAGAGAGCCATGCTTGGGCATGAATAGGTCGGCTCGACCGGAGTGATACCACGGCCTCAAAGAAAACCGACGTGAAACAACCACAGTGTTGTGTTTCGTCGTGTCGGTGAGGTTACCGGAGGCCCAATCTTTCCACCAACCCCTCCACAAATCCTACCACAATCTCAAAATCCCTAATCCCCAAAAGGTCGGCAATGCACTCGCAATCCGTTTATGCGAGTGCCCATGGGCGGCGATGATTGCTTACCATCAGGTAATCATTCATATGAATAACAAACAAACATGCTTACATTTTCACATAGAATTGTGAATGTATACCTTTAGCTATTGTTAGTAAGGGTTAAAGTCCCATGAATTGACCTCTTGATTATCATGATATCTTCAGTTGATATTTTCAGTTTGAAACGTTCTAGGTATTTAGTATATTTACTTACCTCAGTTAATTAGCATTGGCTAATTTCTTTGAACCTTTTGAATCCTTGTACCTTGGTTCAAGAACCATATTTGAACTTTGCAGAATAGAAAGAAGAAGAAAGAAAGAAAGATTTCATACTCGAATACATTCTCACAATATTATTTCCTATACTGATGCAGTACTCGCTTGCTTTCAGTGTGAGTGTAACTGGTTTTATCCAAACCAAACCAGTCTAGGTCCCAGTAGGTACTTTGCGAAGTAAATTACTAATTCAGTGTCTCATAAAATTAAATCTGTCAACATAAACTGAACAAATGTCAAGTCACTAATACAAACTTACGTTTACCATCTCTCTCCTCTTTAGCACTTAAGAAATAAAGTCTTATATTGTTTGATTGATTGTAACAGTACTTCCAACCTCAAGGCCAAATGAAACTGAGCCAAAACGTGTGCATTACCACATTTTCGTTTACTTACAGCTCTGAGTATAGAATGTTATCTTTATATCAATAGGTTAAAGCTTATATTGGCTTGGTAGGTGTGGTTTTGTAGGAAAAAGATAATGCAACTTCTTTTTGTAGCGCTATGAATGATAATGCTACCAGGAAAAATGGATTAAGTGACACGAACAATCGTTAAAATAACAGTGAACGATTGGGACAGAATATTCTATTCTGTAAATAATTTTGAATTTGAATTCTAAACATATGTTTTTGTGGTATTAAACATCATTTGCTTAAGTACGTTGATGGATCGTGGTAATTAATTTCATGTCAGTAATTTGGGTGACTCGTATTTAATATAATTTTTTTGATTGTAGCATTCTGATTGCGAATATGATCGAGTGTTGTCAGGTTTAACTAGACAAAACAATGTAGCTCAAGTTTGGATTTAGATTCGGCAGGAAGTATTATTGAGACCAACATTTTATAAATTGGTAAGGGTCGTGCTTTGGTATGACTTACACGAAATATGCTTCCTCTCCTAAGGAGAACGAGAGAGATACAAACAAGAAAAAGTTTCTTGTCTCAGGAGAAGGTAATACCTTCTCCGTAAATATCATCACACTTGCTAAAGGTGGATTGGCAATTCCAACCTTATAATTAGATTTTTTTAGTTCTGGTTTCCTCACAAAGCTATCCTTCACAGTTTACCAGCGGATGCCCTGAATACACGACAAAACGGAAACATCTTTGGAGAATGTAGTAATAAAGAAGTGTGTACGTCAGTGATATAGATTAAAAGAGTATAACTGTCTGTGTTAAGACACAATCTCGTGTTTCCAGTCCGGTGGAGTCGTTACACAAAAGACAAATACGCAACACTTTCTCGTACGAACAGAAAATAAAGAGAGATTAAAAGTAAGGACCGGAGACTGAGACTCTAGGGTTGTGAGCTACACCATTTTTTTCTACTATTCTTCGCTTATTTTCTTCTAAGTTATCATTTTACTGAGACAGAGCTTAGTTGCTTTTATAATACCCTCACTCAAGCAAATATAGGTTATATTGGTTTGAGTGAGGGTATCGGAGACCCAATGGTCCCAGTGTTTCACAATCCCAAATTCCCCCCCATCCTCAAATATCTTACCTCCTTAAGGTCTGGCAATGCACTTGCAACTCCTCAGGTTCTTTGGATGTCCATGGGGTGCATGTGTTTGCCGCACTATCCCATGAAACCTCTTCCCACAAGGAGAAGATATTAATATCACCACGTTTGCTCAAGGCGGATTGGTGATTTAAACATATAATTTGAATAATAAACCCAAATTGCCTTACAATGTTTACTTTCACCGTTTTTCAAAATTAAAATCACTTAAAATAATTATGAAAAAAAATGTAAATTATTGTGAAGTCGCAGGCATCAACCCTAGTTACAGAAGGCTTGAAGTAAACAGCATCAGCTACCTTCAAGGCAATTATCGAGACATATGTATTTGTCTGAAGTTAACTGTTAATCCATAAGTTGTTTGCTTATTTCGATTTTAACTTAGTAATTTATTATACAATAGGGCTTATAAGGCCGTGGTGACCCGGAGGTGGTGGTGAGGGTGTGGGTTCAAAATCAAGTAGGCAAGTACCAATGTGACTATTCCTGAGTTATGTGTACTTTCTATGATTATTTAGATGCCTTTGACATGACATGAAAGAAAACATCGTGAGGAAACCTGGACTTATAAGTTCTAATTATAAGTTTGAAATCGCCAATCTGCCTTGAGCAAGCATGGTGATTAATGATCAAACTTTCTCTGTGTTAGAAGAAGCCTTTGATCAGAAGTGGGCACTTAAAGGCTGATGATATGATGTGCAATACGTAGATAAACATGCTATCCACTGCATAGATAAAACTATATTTAAATTAGGGTTTCGCGATACGGAACTATGACAGTATTAAGGCCCTTTGCTGGTAGCGACCGTGATTTGTTACTGTCATTTACGACTCACTGAAACTGTAAGTGGGTAACAAAATAATGGATTTCAAAATCAAATAAACAAAAAGTCACAAGTGAACAGACTCCCATAGTAATGTTGAATTAATTAGCTGACAGTCAAGCTGTAAATATAAATCACCGTATTGTTAGATCACCACATTGAGAGCATCCTCCTATACTTTCATTTCACACAACTTGGTGTCAAAGAAACACAATTAGCGGCGGGCCTTATGGTAACTGAAAAATCTTCCATCCCATCGGAATCCATGACTGCTCGGTTGGTGCGGTGGCTGGGCAACTGGTTGCCGTGCAACGTGTCGCGGGTTCGATTCCCGCACGGAACAACTCTTTGTGTGATCCACAAATTGTTGTTCCGGGTCTGGGTGTCATGTGTATGTGATATTCTATATTTGTAACCGCACCCACGACACAGGAGAAAATCCAAATGTGTGGCAACGTTTTTTAAAAAGTCCATATCCTTGGAGGTAGGTATCGGTGCACATTTATACAATGTGATATTCAATTTAAAACAGTTATGAAGTATATTAGGCATTTTTTGAAATTAGAATATGTTAACAAAAATCCATCATACATATAGACCCTAAACCATAGAACCAGTTTTTGTATTTCGAATTGAAGGTAGATGACAATAAGATTCAAAATCCAAAACCCGATTTAATGGTGTAGGTCAAATTTCTTACGTGTCATAAATACAACACATCTACAAAGGCAACACATATAATTGCGCTACAGGATCTAAAATAAACTAGCAGTAATTATGATTTTGTTTTAATTTAAATGTGTGTGAATCATTTTTATGAGTAACAAACGAGCGACTGAAAATGTAACGTAGTAGGTATTGAAATAATAAAAGTGGGTCGCATTTTGAATACTTAATTAGTTTCCGAGTTATGGTTCCGTATGTTATTGTTTTAAAATTTTATTGGGTATCCGATTGTTTTCTGCGAACTAATGTGAGTTGGGGATGAATTAGGAGTTGACAGGTCAATTACATTTTCTATTGAGTTTTTATAAGATATCAAACTTCTAAAAAACAGTACATTGTTTGTGTTTTTCATAACCATATTATAAACTATTATCTTAATGTAAAAAATATGTCATCAAAATTAAGATTAAAATTAGTCGACAGTACTTTCAAAATTAGGCACTTTTTGCTATAACATTAAAAAATTAATTAAAGTGGAAACATAAACAAAGAAACATCAATAACTCAAAACATCATACACAAAATCAATTAACGAAATTTCCCTAACCGAACCCTAATTTGTCTGTCTGTCTGTGCGAACAATAACTCGGTAATTGCTGCGCCGTAATTAACCGATGCGCGATGAGTCAGTGTACTTTCATAGGTCTTTGTTGTTAGTACCTACTCGTACCTTAGTTGTGACGATGAGGAAGTGACAAAGGGTTTTTAGTTCTAGAAATGTAGAAGTCAATTATGCGGGACCTTGAGCCCTTATTTGAATAAGTGTTTTCTTTCTTCGTGGCATTAGTAGGAAGCCATTTTGTTTTCCTAGTTGGCTGAGGAAGAGTCATGTGACGATTCTCCTTTGTTGTTTTTTTTTAGAATTTTTGATTTCAATCGTCGTGTTTTTAAATACCGCTTTTCATGCTTAGTGCGAAACCTGGCAAGAAACAATGTGTCGTTTTCTGAGTTATTTGTCCTTTCGAAGATTATGCAGATACCACTAGGAAAAACCTCAAGATAAAACCTGGTCTTACACTTATTAATTTTAAGTTTGAAATTGACAATCCGCCTTATCTAGATTGGTGATTATTGATCAAGTCAAAAATCCTTTCTAGTCTTCCCTCTTTTTCACAGCACCTGGACAATGCTAATGAAGAGAAAGACATTATTTATAAAAAAAAAATCTGACATAGTCGTTGATCAAGTTGTAAATGTGACTTCTGAGGGGGTTGTTGCTTCTGTAATATAGAACTTATAGCATAAATGTAGGAGGGCTAGGCTTTGTCGCAAAATGCCAGCTGGACCAGAGTGATAACACGGCCTTACAGAAAACCGGCGTGAAACAACACAGTGTATCATTTCGATCTAGACACTTTCTCCCCCATACCTCCTCAATCCCTAAATCTCTGCAAACCCTAATCCCCAAGCGGATGCGAACACATTTGTAATTCAGGTTTGCCGATTGCTTTCCTTCAGGTAATTTTTCCTGAGACTAAATACTATAAAAAAAAATGCGTCCATCACACTCATTTGAAGTGGTGATTGTGGTCTTGGGTAGGTAACATTTTAATGTCAGGCTATACATTACTGGCATGATTTTTCACTTTGACTAATGAGAAAAAGTTTTGACTAATTAAGGTTGGTCACCCACGCAGATATAAATTGTTGAAATTACAAAAACAAGTCGATGATCCAAGAAGAAATATAAGCATAACTTTGTTTTATTAATTTTTATACAATAACTAGAACTTTGTCTTTTATAATCTTTGCTTAATTATTAAATTTTGTTGTTAGCTGTCGAATATCTATAGCTTAACATCTGATTAACACGTTAACACGGTCAAGAACTTATTACTACTACTTACAAAATATGAAAAACATCCCTCAATAACTCAAAACCATCTTAAAAGTGTAATGAGAAATACCTACGGTGACCATAAAATGGCTTGATAAAAGAAGATACATTAACACCTCTTTTTCATCTTTCCAATATAATATCAGAGTCTATTAAAGCAGCTATAAAACTTGTATTGGGATGCAAATGATATAAATACAACATGGTGTTGATAATGATGATGTGGCAAGTGGAGTGTGTGTCAGCTTGTCTGGACAGCCGGGGTGAATGGCTAGTGCGCCCCGCCGGGTCACTCACACGTCTGAACCGCTTCGTAGAACGATCAGCGTCTCAACCGCCATGTTGGGCAATTATATTCTCTGAATTTAAATTTGGTATAAAGAGAAAAAAAATATTTAAAATTAAAATTAAATTAAATTTTTTCTTCTGTATTTATCTTTATGTGGTAAATATCTCACACAAATTACGTGTTCTATATTAAAATTTTATTTATCTTACACATTTTGGTAACTCAAATATTGTGAATTAAGACAGTTCGTGCATTGATTGGCTTGTTTCAGGTTTGGACACCATGGGTGCAAATTTGTATATTTTTAAACGTACCTAGGAAAAAAGTAAACCTTTATAAATGTTAATATATTTTTTAATTAATGCAATTATTTATACACAATATTCTATGAGTTCTATATTATGAGCAATAACTTGATTTTATTCCTGATCTCATGCTTTTGGTCAAGTGTTGAACCCAATACACATTGGACTACTAATTAAATATTAGTCATTTGGGATTCAACAGAATTTCAGTATATTACGTATATAAGTGTGGGAGAGCCATGCTTCGGCACGAATGGGTCGGCTCGACCGGAGTGTTACCACGGCCTCACAGAAAACCGGCGTGAAGTAACCACAGCGCTGCGTTTCGCCGTGTGAGTGAGGTTACCGGAGGCCCAATCCTTCCCCTCGCCCAATCCCTCCTCAATCCCTAAATCTCCAAATCCTTAAGAGGTCGGTAGCGCACTCTTAACTCCTCCGTTGCGGGTGTCCATGGGCGGCGCTGATTGCTTACCATCAGGTAATCCGCCTGCTCGGTTGCCGACCTTTCACATAAAAAAAAATATGATCATTTGATGTATTCTGTACATGATCACCTGTATAGTATATTTAGCTTACCATTCTTTCTGTCTGTGTATCTCATTCTCACCAAAACAGCCAGACAGATAAATGAATTCACAAGTTCCTGTAAGTTGCAGTCTTGTGATAGACTTGTAAGAGTATGAGCTCAAGCGTCAACTCCTGGCAACTTTAGCAATCAATTTTTGGTAGATTAATTAACTAAAAGGCGTTTTTAATGGAGAAAATTATCAAATCACTTTTATCGAGAGAGAGAGAGACAGAGAGAGAGAGAGAGAGAGAGAGAGTCTCTTAAATGGCTAGTCTTAAGTCCAGATTAATACAGAAATGTTAACACTAACCAACAAAGCAACGCGAGGAGGAGCCATGCTTTCGGCACTAATCGGTCGGTAGGCTCAATCAGAGTGATACCTACCATGACCTCACGACCTTTTGGGTTTTGAAAATTCGGGGATTGGGGTTGGCGATGGTAAGAGACTCCGGTACCTAACTTCACTTATACGGCGAAACATAACGCTGTGGTTGCTTCACGTCGATTTTCTGTGCCGAGCCGACACATTCGAGTCAAAGCGTGGCTCTCCCACACTTTATAAAATTTTAATTAAATTAAGGTAGTAAAGGCATTTCTGAAGTCTTCCTCTAAATAAAAAATATAAATAGCATTACCTAGGTACATTTGTAAGACTAGGCAGGTACCTGCTTTAAATTTTGCAACTAGTCTAGATTGCCTTGGTCTAGACGTTGCTAACGCGACGACTGAGCGTGAGGTTTGCAATTCATTACTCGACCAAAGTATTTAATTATATTTTTGTATTTTGTTTTTAACTTCATTTTTTATGTAGTTTAAGGTAAATATATTGGGCCTAGCTTAAGTGTGGGAGAGCCATGCTCCGGCACGAATGGGTCGGCTCGACCGGAGTGATACCACGGCCTCAGAGAAAACCGGCGTGAAACAACCACAGCGTTGTGTTTCGCCATGTGAGTGAGGTTACCGGAGGCCCAATCCTTCCCCTCCCCCAATCCCTCCTCAATCCCTAAATCTCCAAATCCCTCATCCCTAAAAGGTCGGCAACGCACTCGTAACTCCTCCGTTGCGGGTGTCCATGGGCGGCGCTGATTGCTTACCATCAGGTAATCTGTCTGCTAATTGCCGACCTATTACATAAAAAAAAAGTTTCTTGCTTTGATATACAACAAAAAATGTGGGTACCTCAAAATCTCTTGATTCAGACAGATGGACTATTTATACTATTGAAGTGAGAGTAAGTTTCTGCAACTGGGGCGGGTTGATTTCAATTGCATGGATCTTGAATGCAAGTCGTTGTGTGATCTACAAATTGTTGTTCCGGGTCTGGGTGAAATGTGTATGTAAAATTTTATGTTTACGTCGCTCCCACGACGTACGAGGCAACCCTAGATTGAGGCAACGTGTTTAAAAAAAATTGGAAAAATTATAATAATATCCGTTAGTGAAGCTAGGAAACAAATAGTATGTTTGCAACCTTTGAAAGTAATCATGTAAAAATAAAACGATGAATTTTCCAAGAAAATTCAGTGCACTTCGTTAGTCCACACATAGGCATATGAAGTGCTAAAACCGAGCGATACTAAATATAATTATAGGGGCATGTGAAGCGCAATAATAACATTATATTAAAGCAATAAAACCAAATAGCTCACGAGTATGTGGCGTTTTGTACCGACATACACATTCACTGGAAATGCCATATGGAAATAAACAATGTTAAGAAGTTTAATTCCTGAAGTGGTCCGCCAAACTGCATATTAATTCAATTTCAAAAACTTACTGCTGTTGTGAATTTGAAAAATATAACGGGTGATTATTAGACATTAATTTAATGTTATAAAAGATAGAAAAATCAAATTTCATTAATTTCTTCATCAAAATAGCACCCATCAAAGCATCACTAATTTGATGTAAACTTAACCTAAACAAAGTATGAACATCTGTAATTCCAACATTTGTTTGGAATTTAATACAAATAGATAAAATATTATCATCTAACTAATATATGTAATGTTGTAAAAGTTTCGATTTGGCTACAAAAAAATAAGTTTAATGTGGACCAAAAGGGTAATGTTTCGGATCCAGCGGGAGGTAACGCCTGGGTACCGATGGTGTGGAGCGAGAGGATTTGAGAAACTATCACCTCTTTTTATGAAGCATAAGTGCTTCACAAAGAAGGAGACAGACGTGTTAGGGACCTATTCCGCCCCAGCTCCTTTAGCGAAATGAGGCACCGCGACCTCGGCCCAGAGCAGAAGGAACAGGGGGGTTTTAGCCAGTAAGAGTCTGACACTCGCTCCCGTCCGGCCCTGGACGAGAGAAGTCATTTGATGATTTTCCCCTCGCAAAAAAAGGCCCTACAGGAAGCACCCCGCTCGTTGGAGATTGTGCGACGATCTCTGGCCAACGTAAGCGTGGGTTGCAGATGGAGAACAAGAGTAGCTCGCTGCCTGAAGATAACTCTACGCCTCGCAATGAAGTTATCGGTCGCGGCCCTAGCATGGAGCAGTGGGTTTTAGTCAGAGAGAGAGTCTGACAGCGCCTCTCACACCACCAAGGTTTGTAGAAGTAAATAGAAAATTTGCCAACCACAAAAAAATACAACAAGAGTACCTACTATTCAAGTGGCTCATCCAACAACCGTATATCTTTGTAGTTTTAATTTTACGAGTCGAATAAACATGCGCGCGAGTTTCCGTATTTAATGCGAACATCTCAAGGTTGCAGTGACGCACGCCGATGCGCTTGTTTTGATATTAAATGCAACACATACATACATACAGTCGTGTGCTAAAGTGTTTCGGTTTAAATTATGTGACATTTTGAATTGGCCCCGAGTGTACCAACAGAGTAACAAATATACCATTAAGCTGGGTGGTGCAAAGTTTTATACGTAAACGTTTTTATCCAAATTAATTCTGATGAGGATCTTTATTAATTATATTTTTGTTTATTTTACAAGAGAAAGTGGGTAAGATTAACTCCTTTTATTAGGGAGATGAGTTCAGTGGCAAATAGCTGTAAAATTACTATTTTCCTAATTGTAAAGCTCAATGATAGTTAAGTTAAAATAACAAGTCAATAGATTCACGGTGTTTCTTTTATACAGAATCAATCAATCAGTCATTAAATCCAACCACACCGTACTCACATCACAGTTATTTAATTATTACTTAAAACAGTATTAAGCAATTGTTTTCGGAACAAAATTGTTTCTAGGAATTAGTTTAAGTAACCACGACCAGTTAAATATTTCTAAAATATCTTGAAACTAAAATTTCACGCCCCTTACCATTTTATAGTTAGGTATAAAGAGAAACCAACATGGAGGTTCATTGCAAAAACCAGCAGTTATTTTATAATGACCTGTCGTTATATTGACAGTATGCATGTTAAATATTTTTTATATGTCATTATATTTATACAATCACTATAACGTGGAGCCTGTATATAAATTTACTTTGCTTGCCGAACGAGTCAATGATCCAATGTTAATGAAAAAATAGCAAACAAAAGTTTCATATCGATATTTTTTTTATTTTTAATATTTCCTTTTGACTTTTTGCTATTGGCTAAAATAATGGATCTTAATCTGAAAGTCTTTAACTTGATTGCAACTGGAGCTAAAGTAACGTGACAGAATAAAACAAATATTATTTTTTATTTATTTATTTATATATATATGCAAAAAAAACAAAAACCATATCCTTACATTTTTTTATGGAATGGATCGGCAAGTGTTTAGGCGTATTATCTGATGGTAAGCAATTGGCGGCGAGTTACGAGTGGGTTGCATGCGAGCATCTTGGAGATAAGGGTTTCGGATATTTAAGAATTGGGGAGGGATGGGAAGATTTGAAGGATTGGGCCTCCGGTAACCTCACTCATACGGCGAACCACAATGCTGTGGTTATTTTACGTAGCTTAATCTGTTAGTAAACAATACTATGATTCATTCATATTCTTCTCAAAACTTACTAAACATATAACATTCTGTTTCATCTTGGAACTGATGCATTCTTCTGCGAGAGTTATTATCAGGAGCGAAAATAAGAAACAATTGAATATAGGTACAGTCCAGGAACAACTAGTCGAACATGGTTTTAATTTTGTTAAACAGGAGAAAATACATTGATATAAAAACGCATTAGTCCTACTGCATGTTCCCTGCATATTGCCCTC